TCGCATTTCAATATAGTGTACCCCTTTTGGATGTTAGTCTTGAAGGTTGCTTTATGTGTTATTGTATTCCCTATACTATCCAATACTATAGTATAGTATATAACATATATATATTGGGTTAATGGTTTGGTTTCATGGTTTATGGTTTTTTTTCACTGACTATACTATAGCATATGCATCATAGTATATTGTCTTGCATTGCTCACTCGCCTCTTACAGTCGCGTAGGCGTGTGCAAGGCGAAAATCGTCCAACAATGGCGTTAATTGTCACATCACATTCCTTATGGTTATATCTTTAATTTTGAGTTTTCCTATAGTTATTTGGCAAATTGCCCCTTTCTTTTATGTGACAAGATACTTTTATTCTGATGTTAAATTTTCTAATTAATTTTAAAATCTAAAACATTATCATTATTAAATAAATGTATTTAGAATTTTATTAACTTTCATAGAGGCATACAATTCGAACATTTTAAGAATGGTGAAAAGGCACATCAAAAATTTATTTATAAGAGTTCATCTACGTTGTGTTCAAAAAAAAAAGAGTTCATCTACGCTTTCCATGTGCAAGAAATTCACAAAATATTATCTCTTCTCTCAAATTGTTTTGTGCTAGTTAGAGCAAAATATATTTTACAGCAAATAATAAATTGTTATAAAGAAATAGAAATATATCACACATTTATTGATTCTCAGAATTTTATCTGGGTTGTTTCATGTATCTGGTATACCAAAACACAAACAATCTTCACATCAAAGAAAACGATCATTTAGTTATTTGGAAAATGCTATCACTGACTAATTAGTTTTTGTATATAAAAATCCTATGAACAAAGTTATGGCTGCAGGTTTAGTCAAAAAATAAGATAGGTTATATGACTAAGGACTTGATTGGTAGAATATTAGTATAAGTATTATTTTCTCTATTATCTAATTAACATTTTTCAAAGAAGCATTTGGAAAAACATTTACCAAATGCTAATGCTCTCTAAATGCTATTTTTTCAATGGTCTCCAATGGAGTTTTTGGTAGAGCATTTGTATTTACAATATATAAATTTTTAAAAAATAATTATATATAATTAATTTATTTTAGTTTAATAATATAAAAAATTATAATAAAAAATAAAATTATATTTTTAACAATTAAAATAAAACTATAATTTAATATTTTTAAATTATTTAAAATAACAATATTTCACATTAAAAAATAATTTATATAATTACACATATCGTTCATTATTTTTAATAACAAAGATAACATAATATATATTTATATATTATAAATATAAAAATATATGTATATTAATTATACACTAATAAATAAATTATATAACATATATTAATTTTGGGAAATTGCCAGGAATAACACTTTCAAGATACCACTTTTCAACTTTACATTATTCAATTTTACCATTAAAATTTTAATACGCAAAATACTATTATACCCTTAACTAATTGAACTTAACAATTTTAATAAGGTTTTGATGGATTAGGGTTTAGAGTTTAAAATTTAGGATTTAGGGTTAAGAATTTAAGATTTAGGGTTAAGAGTTTAGGGTTTCGAGTTTAGGGTTTCGAGTTTAGGGTTTAGGGTTTATAATTTAAGGTTTAGGGTTTAGGAATTCGAATTTAGAGTTTAGAGTATAGATTTTAAGGTTTAGGGTTTAGAATTTTGAATTTAGAGTTCAGAATTTAGGGTTTAGAGTTTAGGGTATAGAATTTAGGGTTTAGGGTTTAGAGTTTAGGGTTTAGAATTGATATTTTAGGGTTTAGTGTTGATTTTTTAGGGTTTAGTGTTGATTTTTTAAGGTTTACTTTTTAGGGTTTAGGGTTCAGTGTGTAGGGTTTAGAGTTTAGGGTTTAAGGTTTGGAATTGATATTTTAGGGTTTAGGGTTGATTTTTAGGGTTTAGGGTTTAGAGTTGAGTTTAGGGTTTAAGATTTGAATTTTGAAATAGTATAATTCGAAAAAAATAAATTTTTTTTTTTTTTTTGTTTTTTTATTTATTTAAATATTTATTATATATATATAAAGATCAAGGTTATAAGAGTCTTTTATTTTTTTAACAAAATGTGTATTTTTGAAAATGTTCATTTGTTGATGGTAAACATGAAAAATGGTACCACTAAAGTGGTATAAGTGAAATTACCCCATTAATTTTTATTATAATTTTATATATGAATCATTTACTGCTCTATCAATAAATAATAATAATTTATATAAAAATTATATATAATTGATTTATTTAATTAATAAAGTTAAATAGTTACATATCCAAAATTAAATTTAATATTTTTTAAAAAATCATATTTTTAAATAATAATATTTTATAGATAAACTATAACATAATTTTATATAATGAATAAGATTCATTATTTTTAATAACAAATATATTATATATATATATATATATATATATATTTTTTTTTAATATAAATATTTATTATATTAACTTTTATGATAATTATAAAATTATATACTACTACTGCTCTGCCAATCACTTTATTAAAAATTTTACTGAAAGCATATAGCTTCTGCAGCATATTTTTTCTACATCCTACTGTTAATGCTTTATCACCTGCCGTACCAATCGAAACCTAAATGTGATTAAACTTCGAAGTGTTTGTTTAGGAAGAAATGAGTGGACCAAATTAACTCTCTTATATTATAAAGATATTAAGAGTATATAGTGCTGAAAATGAAAAATATACAATATCTATTGTTTCTTTTTTAAAACTAGGTGATTTTCCCGTGCTCATGCACGGACATAAATATTTATAAATAAATATATATTAATTATTGATTAATATTTGCTTTAAATTTTTAAATTAATTTATAGTTTGTATGTCTAATTTATATTATAATGTTATATTACTTTAATTATATATATATATATGTGTGTGTGTGTATATATATAATTTTAGATATGTTATATTTAGTCAGTTTTATTGTTTTTACGGTCGATTTAGTTATCATTTGGATATATTGGATTCTATCTATTTCTCTGAATTCAACTATAATCTTTTTTTTTATTTTGTATATATTAAAATTTTGATTAATTGTCTTATTTGCATTTATGCTGGTTTTTATCTTAGAAATATAAGTATATTTAGTAAGATTATATATAAGGTTAGATTTTTGTGTGCTTAGAATGAAAAAAAATAAAAACTAAAGTGTTTAATTCTAAGTTATATACATAAGTAACTAATAAATATTTAGAAACTTATGAACACATATCTGTATTTACAATAATTAAAATATTTGATAAATTCTAAATAAATTTATGCTTTAGATTGATTCGATGGTAAACTGGAATTTATTTTAAAAAAATTTTAAAAACAAGGATTCTGATTTGCTTAAGTATTTTGATTATGGTTATATTAAGTTTCACAAACATAAAAATATAAAAATAAAAATTAAAATATTTATTAAGAAAACAGATAATTTTAACTATTAAAATATAATATATCTACCTCGTTAAATTATATAGTGCTATGGTATTTTAAAATAATTGTAGTTATTTTCTGTTTTAATGTTTCTGAAACTTAATAAAACCATAAACAAAATACTTAAGCAAATCAGAATCCTTATTTTTAAAACAGATAATTCTAACTATTAAAATATAACATATCTACCTCGTTAAATTATATAATGTTAGGATATTTTAAAATAATTTTATTTATTTGATCAAAAGATGTTTATTATTAAATTTATTTTTTAGTTTTATTTTTAATATTTCTTAAAATAGTCAGTAAAAAGATGATTGTTTTTGAGAAATTATATTATATAAGTAAAATATTATATTTTTACTGTAACTGTAAGATATTATAGTCAAATAAATATACTAAAAATAATTTCAATAGTAATAATTATAAAAAATTTTAATTAAACATATATCAGTTTATGTTAGTTAGTTATTTTATGTAATCATCTAATAAAATAGATAGATATATACAAAAATAATTATTTTGAAAATTTATATACTTTTGTTTGAATTTTTTTTAAAAAAGAAAAAAATATTTCTTTTTCTAATATCAAGATTATTTGTGTGAACTTTTTTTATGAAATCACATTATATACAAATATTGTCTTTTTATCTAAGAAGATATAGATATAACGTATATTTATTACTTCAAAAGTATCTTATATGTTATTTAAAAATATATTGAAATTAGATATTACTATTTTGTGAACTTTTTTTATGAAACCATATTATGTATACTTATATTTTCGTTTTAAATAGTTTTGTAAACTTTATAAATTTTTCCTTTTTATTTTATATTGTTATTTGGAAATTTTTAAAAAGGAAATAATAATATTTAATTGTATTTTTAATTCATTAGGGGTATCATAGTAATCAACCAGCGTGAGAGTTAACGTGAACGCGACACCTAAGAAAGTGACTTCTCAAATAATATTATAGAGATACAAAAGAACTAGAATTTAACCTACTCTGTGCAGATCTTTTTCATTTTGCATATGTATAACTTTAATATTATCATAAACATTTTAAATATATGATTTACATTTAGATGTTATATATTATGTAAGTCTTTTATCTTATTGTTTAGGTGTTTATTACAATATATAGTTACTTTATTTATATATTTTGGTTTTTCTTATGCTTCGAGTTCAGTACAATAAATTTATACTCTGAAATAATCAAATAGATAATCTTTTTCAAAATATTTTTTAAGGATATATATTTATAAATATAAAAATTTAACATATCTTAATAATTTTACTTTTTATAAAAGTATTACATAGTTTACAAACTTTAACACGTTTTACTAGTAAATGATAATTTGTTTAAATGAAAACATTTAAAAAATAAAATAAGTTAGTTTACCAATTTAATTAATTTTATTAATAGTTTGTATGTATGAACATTAATTTATTTTAGTTTTATTTCAACTGATAATATATTTATTTTAAAACATTTGTAAAATTGTTATGTCCGCACGTGCGGGCAAAACATCTAGTTATATATAACTATGTGATTATGGAATGCATTTATTCACGTTTAAACCATGCACAAAATCTTTTGTAATCAAACACACACATAATATAAGTAAATCCAATCAAATAATCCAAACCAAACAAATATAATACACAATCTTCAAATAAGCAAATTGGATACGAATATATAAATTACAGAACAAATAAATGAAAAGAAAAGAAATCCGTTATAATTCTTCGATTTACTTTCGAACTCCGTATATAGCAGCGATATAGAGAAGTTGTGTCGCCGAAAGTATTATTAGAAATGCCTCCATTGTCCTCTGCCGAAAATTAAAAATAACTGAATCACTTTTTTTTTTGCTCACTAATCGAAGTATTTAAGTAAATGCGCTTTTAGTCATTCACTTTTAAACTACTCATTTGAATATATATATATATATATATATGTAAATAACTATACGTGCCAATACCATAGACCTCTGCAATAATGTAATATGATAGAAGTTTACTCACCAAACGAGCATTTCTCATCCCAAGTTCAATTTCCTTGCATCCAAATCTGCACAAGTACATTCAAGAAACAAACAACTTTAATAAAGTATAAATTGGGTTTTTATTTAAGTGTTGAAAAGGTAAGAATTATAGGAAATAAAATGGTTGAATATTATGTTAAATACTCAAAAAGAGTAGTTTTAGATTAATCTCTAACCCCATGGCTAAAACTGTAAGCGACCAAGCAATGGTGGCGGCAGAGACAGCTGCTGGAAGACTCGCTGGAGTCCAAGACTGGAGATGACTAACACCGGAGATAACAGAGGCAGCTCCAGCAACTCCGGCAATTAGAGCAAACATCACAAAGAATCCGGTGGCCGCATTTCCCATCGGAAAATATATTGGCGAGAAATGAACGGGAAGGCTGAAATCCGCACCTTTAATTTTTGAAGTGAAAAAGCTTAAGATGATTAACTCAAACCATTAATTAATTAGAATTTTCAGTGAGATCATTTAAATTTATTTTTTAACTTCCAAGTTGTTTCATTTTGATTTTTTCAGATTTTTGATGCTGTAAAATTAGTGACATAAAATCGTAAAGTTATTTTTGAGAAAAGTGATTGCTTAATTATGAGAATACTGGTTTTCTATTACATAAATAAAATTATATACCAATAGGGAAGCCATGGCTGATAGCTTTGTTCATGGACCATGCTCCAATTCCGAGAACAATGGCGTACATGCAGAAATTGAGGAGTAGAAGAAAAGAGGCCACTGGTTTCATCGGCTGTTCAGCCATTTTTTCTTGTCAGCCTAGACAAGAAAAAATCCTGAGCTATGTATTTTTTTGTTTGAAAAGATATATCTGAAGTTAAGATCTTCGCAATTTTGGATGTGAAATGATTTAAGACCTTCTATTTATACATAGGTTTGATTAGACGGTGCCTTTCTTGGTTAAGGCTGTTTGGTAATTCTGGATTCGTAAAGGCAATTAAATTCTTGTTCTTGCAGGTTGTAAAGTTGAGTTGCTGTTTTTCTTACAAAGAATCTATGTTTTGCTTCATCCGCAGGGCATAATTAAATAAATTGAAAAGTAATTAAATATAAAACCTTTCGAACTTAAAAAGATTCTTTGGTTCACTAAGTTTCTTTCGCAATTTTCTTGTTTTATCTAGCTTTTAATTGTCGGAAAACAAAATATAGCTTTTAATCTTTTCTGTATTATACATGCACATAAATATTCAGTCTATAACATTCAATAATCCATTTAAAAGACTTAAAAAAAAAGAAGAAACGTGTGTAAAGTAACAATATGCAAAAATAACGTGTGTAAGACGTTAATGGAGGAAACCAACAATGAGGGTACCGTGAAGAGCAAGCCAAGAGGATGTCCTATTCCGTATTTATCTGCAGAAATAAAAAAATCCAGTGGTCTGTTGTAAAAATATCATGAATATTTTTGTGAAACAGTATTAATTGTATTTACTTCCTTCTGGATGCTTACCCGAATCCGTTTCCTGCTTCTCTTTGTCTCTACATCGCTATCTCCACATTCTTCAGTCTCATGGCATCCATCATCGACCATATTGTCTTCATCCACTTCATTATGAGTAGCCAGAGAGGGAGTATTGTCATCTGAGAGTCTTATACCACATTCTTTTAATTTGAGTCTAATACTAGAAAGGCGAAACTCTATCTCAACTTGATTGCAATCTTGGTTTATAGGGAAATGACAGTCAAATATAATCAGATGATTATATTTCTGATGTAAGGAGAAGTGTCTTGGATTAGCAGGCTCAAAGTAGTTCCCGCGCTTGTCTCTAAACCGACAATGTACCTGAATGTCTATAAAGAAAAGCAGATGGCTAACCGTTTCTTCGGAAACCACGACACAAGCCTTGAAGTCCAAGAATGATTGTGGGCACAGCGTTGAACGATGTAAAGGGACTGTAAGGGAGCTTGCGGTAGACCGGTGAGTAAAATATGGAGGCACTTCTACACCTGGTAAGATCAGATATTCGGAAGCTGATTGTTGAATGAAGGTTTCTTGATTCAAATTGAAACAGTTGGTGAAAATAACTAATGACAAGTTAGTGCCACTGCCAGCATCATTGGTGTCTTCTGCTTCCTCAGGCCACTGAACTTCAGTCAATTTCTCACAGTCTGAGAAGTAAACCTCATCAAGATTACTGAGTTTGAAAATCCTTGGTGAGATGGATTGTAGCTGCTTGCATTCCCACATCTCCATAGATTCAAGGCTAGAGAAGTTTTGGATGCTCGGAGGAACTTCTTCTATCGCTGTTTGGTTTAGAAAGAGAGTTGAGATGTTGCTGGAGATATCTGGGAAGCTCCTCAACTGAGAGCATCCGTTAAGATTGAGACGATAGAGAGATTTAAGGTTGACGCCAGTTGGGAGAGTCTCTAGACTTGAGCATCCTATCATTTCCAAAGTAGTGAGTTTATTGAGATTTTGAATCGATGAAAGAGTTAGCTCCACCAAACTAGAACAACCATTGAGATCAAGTTTCTCGAGTTTAGTCATCATAGAAAGATTTGGGATTTCTTTCAAGTTTTCACATCTTGAAAACACCATTTTCTTGAGGCTTGTAAGAGGCTGAACAAAACAATTCCAAAAACTATTTAGCTATCACATTCTTAAACATCAATCATGTGAATCATGCCTACAACATGCATTCTACCAAGTTTGAACCTCCATAGTGGCTCAACAATATTACTAGCACAAACCAATAGGCTACATGCAGGGGCAGATCTACAGAAATAGAAGGTGGCTCATGTGCCCCACCATCTTTTGCCACTTTTCACTAAATTAGAATTATAGTATATTTCCATATCTAAGTTAAACATTAGTGATGTTAAGAATTTGTTACATGCACCATACTAAAATCATTTCTGGATCCCCCACTGGCTACATGTACCAGTTTAAATATTATTAAAGACCGATTCAAAAACTTAATTAGGGGTCTTTTTTTTGGAGGGGGGGGGGGAAATTAGGGGATTTTAAGATATAAAGTTTTGTAGTGATCTATCTTACAGACAAAATGTGATTATATTACGATCAACTGATGCTGGTACTTACAGGCTGGGTACTTTGCATGGTTCTGAAAACATGCCAAGTAACAAAATATTCAGCTATAATATTTTCAATCGCCTGTAACAAAATAGTTTTAAAAACAATATCATACCTGAACTCCTTCCCAAAGTCTTTCACTCTTGATTTTCTCCATGTGAAGTTCAACGAGAGACTCTAAAGGCAATTTAAAGGGGTATTTTACGATAGATGTTTGGCTTAGATTGAGCTTTGAAATGTTACTTGAGATCAAAGGAAAACTTCGCAACCGTGAACATCCACTGAGATCAAGAGAACTCAGAGACTGGAGGTCAATTCCAGTGGGAAAGGTGTCCAGATTTACGCACCCTTGCATGTTCAACTTTGTCAATTTATTGAGATTCCGAATAGAGGAAGGAAGCTCCACCAAACTTGAACAACCATGAAAATTCAATGTCTCAAGATTAGTCGCTGTTGAAAGATCCGGGATTTCTTTCAGGCTTTCAGACTTGGACAAATCCATATCTTTAAGGCATGCAAGTGGCTGAACAAAAATACACAAAATAAAATTATTTACACACCAAGTGAAAGGTCTCTTGCTTAGAGGAAAACCATTTTTTTTTTTTGTTTTAAGCATTTTAAAATTAAATTGGAACTTACCTCAACTCCTTCCCATAGCTTCACAAGCTTGCTGTTAGGCATTATGAGTTCAACAAGATATTCAGGACAAAAACAAGAAGGCAAGTGCACCATTGGACATCCCGGCCAACTAAATAACTTGAGTTTGTCTGGAAAATTATCGAAACTTTCAGGTAGTAACCATCTAACTTCTTTCTTCCTCTCTAATGACTTCTTATAGAATTTTAGAAAACGGAGATTAGTCATCTTGTCGAATGCATTCTCATGTATTCTCACCATACTAATCTCATCTAAATTCAAGGATACACCTATAACCATTTCACTCCCCTGAAAAACATACAATAATTATTATCTTAGAGGCATGACAACTTTCAATATTCTTAAGGAAAGAGAAAGAAAAATCTTACTCTGGAACTCCCAAGTACATTGCAAACATCCTTCGAATCCATCAGGAACTCTCGTTTTCCAGGCTTGTTAGACTGTGTACGAACAACTTCTTTACCTATCTCTTGTACCAAACTATGCATCTCTATGATTTTTGTATTATTCCATGATGGTTTTACACTAATAAGGGACTTATCAACTAGGTTTGTCAGACCCATATTAACATCCAACCCACTATCTGCAAGCATCAGTTTGATTCTATCAATTTCCATACTGTTGAAGAAACATGCGATGTGACGAAATATCGCTTTGTCTTCTTCGCTATCTAATGCATCATAGCTAATTCTTAGCCCTTTTACAATAACTCTGTTTGGACTTTTTCCAAGCCTTGATAACATATCTGTCCAATACTCCTTGTTCCTCTTTTTCATAGCCTTACCTAGAATCTGAAGAGCTAAAGGAAGACCACCAGCACACATTGATATTTTAGAAGCAAGATCCATAAAACCATCAGGCGGAGAGTTTTGCAAAAAAGCTGATCGGCAAAACATCTCAAGTGCTTGCTTTTCTGAAGGAAAGTCAACCTTGTAAATATGATCAATCCCATGGGCCTCAAGAAGATGCTTATCTTTTGTAACCACAATGATTCTACTCCCATTTCCAAACCAATCATCTCCACCCGCCAAGGCATCTAACACCACTTGATCATCCAAATCATCAATAACGACAAGAACTTTTCTGTGCCTAAGCCTATCTCTCGCAGCCCCTAGATGATCTATTTTTATGTGCCCACTATCTAAAATTTCAGACAAGAACTTTCCTTGCAAACTCAACTTCATGTTATAATCGTCAGAGTTAGCTCTCCTATAATCTTCCAGATTTTTAGATATGAACGCACTATCAATGAAAATGCTACCTAGGAATTGATGTGAGATTCGATCAAATAGAGCTCTTGCAATGGTTGTCTTGCCAATTCCTGAAGGACCCCATATCCCAACCATCCTCATTTCATTAGATTCCACACTCAGCAATGCACTCATCTTTGCAATATGATCGTTGATGCCAACGAACTCATCAAAATCCCTCGATGGAGTTACATTAAGTTTAACCAAAATATCACTTACGATTGCTTCAATCATTTTTGCTTCATTATCCCTGGCATGGAGAAAACATTATATCATAAACCATGAAACAAAATCAATAGTGTAACAAGTTGGTATAAATCCTTTTTTTAGTATCATATATTTTTCTTTTATTAATAAAAAAGGTACGTACTACTGTAGTTATAATTATTTTTATAAACTACAAAAAAAAAATCATGATTAATATAGTTATACCAGTTTCGAGAATGGTGTCCTTCTAGATTTGCTACATCGGTTAAAGCTTGCCGCCATAGTTTTATCTTGCTCTCTGTTCTGTTCTTGCAAGTCTTGTGAAAAGCTTCACCAAACTCACCCATCTGTTTTCTAATATCAGAAGGATCCAAACCGTAGAAAACGGGTATCACAATCTGCTCTAGCTCTTGTTTGCATTTCACAATCTCTAGCAACTCATCTAGGCACCATTTGGAAGAAGCATAGTTTTTCGAGAACAGGACAACCGCAATCCTTGAACTCCTAATTGCCTGTAAAAGCTCCGGTTCGATTGCTTGGCTTCTTTCTATCTTACTGTCTTTGAAAGGAATGATCAATCTGAGATCCAACTCCTTAAGAAAATGACTGAGGAATGTTTTGCGGACATCTAATCCCCGGAAGCTAGGGAAGACGTCAAACATCCAATTGCATGAAGAAGACATAACCAAACACAATTCGCAGGAAAGCAACGTTCTGAATAACAATGCAGATTCAGAGGAGAATCTAAAGGCTTACCATCTTCTTAGTTGTACTGAAAGCCTAATCACACATCAGCTAACAGAAACAGAGAGGAAAAATTCGTGAATGTCTCTCTGGGTTCTCCTTTTTTTTCTCAATAGAGGAAATGGTTTGGCTAACAAAGAACACTCAATTCTGAAATAAGTCTTTTTTCCTCGAATTTTTCCAAGATAAGGTGATAGATATAGATTTAGAAAAAGACAAAGGGTCATTTCGGTTTTTCTTATTACCATGAAATAAAAAAATTCGTTGTCTTAACAAGTCCCACCTTCTTTATCGTCATCGATCGTCAACTCTGGATGTTGTCACATGAGCATGAAAGCGAGCGATTACAACGAGTCAACAAAGGAGGTGCGTATATCAGGTTCACATATACGTTTACGTGTATATCATTTATTTCTCATTGATTATGGTAGGAGAATCTTTGTCTTTGCATTTTTACATGAAAAGAAAAAAAATCATAAATGCTTTTTTTGCTAATTACAAAAATGTGAAGAGAAACACATTTGGAAATGGATATTTGATCAATACATTTCTTTCGTAGTGGTTAAAATCATTGATTAACTAATAGAAATCTGAGAAGTCACATGCATGTTAAATCTCATTGACAGTCTACTCTCCAAATTGTTAAATTGCATGGTTAATTACAAATCTAGAACCTTGTAATTATTCTTACAAGAATTGTTTCGTACACGTTTAGTCCTTTACAATTCAGAAGTTTCGTATATAATATTCAAAGTTTTTCTTTCTCAAAAAAACAAAAATTTAAAGTTTTTCAAGGAACATTTATATTCAATGTTATGAAGCGACATTAGCTTTTGGTTGCAGAATTCAAACTCATTGTCCACCGTAGTGATCAGTCACCCACCGGTACAGTACTCCTTCGGCATACCACCAATTAAAATTTAGGACCGTCAATATGATCGCTAGCGGGAAAAATTGTTGAGAAAAAATAGGGTTAATATCATATCCTGATTCAAGTAATCAATTTTTTTGAACTTATATTTATACTAGTTCCGGCAGTACGCACCAGGTTCGTATGTTTTATTCTCTAATGAGTTCAAAATTGTTTGTAATTCTAGAATCACCAGTATCTATGGATAAGCTCTTACATCATGTGTGTCTATTCTTTTACCTACTTTGTATGATGTTGTTGGGAGATGTTATATTTTAATGGTCGATACGGGTTTTTAGTAAACATATATTATGTTATTATGTTTTATAGTTGTTGGGTATTTTTGTTTTAGTAATTTAGTAATTTCTTTTCTAGGAGAGAGGAGAGGTTTATGTTTCTACATTTCCAACGTTGGTCTTCATTTGTTGCTGATTTTTTAATTGTAAATTTACTATAATGGGATAATTACAGGTTTGGTTTTAGGTCAATAGACTATGTATTTCCATAGTTTTAGAGTCGTATATGGTTGTCGTGGTTGGATATGCCGAGGAGGAAATGATAGTTTCTCGTGTTATATCTTTTAAATTTTCTTTAGCTTACTCCAGTTATGGTTATTGTATTACTGGTTAGAGGTAATTGTTTTAATTTTCTTTAATGTAGGGGAGTCAATTGTATGTGAAATTGGAGCTTAGATTATAGGCGATTTGAGGTGACCGATGAAGGAGTAACAGAGTAAAAATAATATTTATTTATTTAGGTTAAATTTGGCTTATTAACCATTTGAAACTAGATGTTATTTTGTTGGTTTACTATGTTCTCAGACCTTGATTCCCATGTAACAATTTTATTTGTTTCGACTCATTTATTTTCACATTTTTTGTTGTATTTAGTAATTTCTGGTCTAATGTTTTTGACTAATTGCTGACCATATTTCGTATTTGTGTAATGAAATCTATCCTATGTCAGTAAGTTGCGGTAATATTTGTGTATCTCTTCGTCTTTAAGTTAAGCAGTAAGGCTGACTTCTAATCAACTCAACCGATATGTTGATAAACCAGACGTTTTTATAAGAGATCTGTTTAGAATGAAACAGTTTCTTTTGTGGACGTTATACATTTAACTTAAATGACATTGATGTATAATTTCTTACCAAATGGATCCTGTTATTTTTTTATGTGTTTGAAACGACTGAGTCAAATTGATAGACAATTTATTTACTTAATCATCAAGAAATCAGAAGATAGGTTCTCGTTGTAATAAATTTGGTGGCTCCGTTTTGGTTTTCCGAAGTCCTTTCTTGTTTGTTAACGAAGAAGGAAGAGTTTTAAGATTCAATTTTTCTTGGGGCTGTTTGTGTTTACTTGTAAAGTAATTTATCGATGATAAGCTGAGTTTGTACATTCACGTTCGGAGCTGTCTGTGTTTTCCTAGAAAATATCTAATAAATGATAACTAGATGGTGATCCGCACCTTATGCGGATTTATATATACTCTCTATGTTTGAAGAATATTATAGTTTTAAATTTTTTACATATTTTAATAATAAATTTACAATACCAAAATAATTGTACTTTAATACATAATTTATAAATAATTTTTTGTGTATATAATAATTTTTAATTAATATGACAAAATGAGTAAAAATGTTTAAAGTTATACTATCTTTTTGATACAAATAAAAATCTAAAAACTACAATATAATTGGTTAATATTTAAAATATATTATATTACCATAACTATACAACTTACATTTTATTACATATATTTTCAATAATGCTTTGACTTTAATCTTAACTTCAATTTGTAATCACAAGAAATTTTTTAGACATCGTTTAGATAAGAAACAAAAAAAAAAAGAAAATTTAAATAATCAAAAATGTAAAAGCTTACTAACACTGACGCAATTCCTATGAAGATGAAAGAGCAACCTTCAAAAATAGATATTGTGAATCCGATAAGGTTTACATTGTAACACTTGAAATAGCCTAAGGTGGTCAAGAACTTGTTATCTACAGCAAAAAAAAAAAAAAACAATATGAAGACGGCTCATCAACAAATCCAGCATAAAACCCAATGTCCTCTTCCTTCTTTGCTATGTTAAAACTTAAAATCATCAATCTACCAACACAAAAAAGCACACCAGATTCAAATAAGTACATTACCAGACTTTATGTGTGACAGAAAGAACAACTTACGTAAGAAACCTACTGTTGACTACTGTGTGTTGCTGTGTGCACTCACCATAAAGTAAAGGAATGGAAAAAGAGAGAATGAAACGATTGAACCAAAACTATTTGTCCTCAGCGAGACTTCTTCATCTAATTATTGTTATTATTGGTACTAGAGTCTTTCTCCGCGGATACATGAATAAATAGTTTAGGTTAGAATCATAATTTTCAATACTATTTTTGGATTGAAAACATTATATATTTTTTTTAAAAAAATATGAAAAACTTAGTGATTATTGAGTGTTTGTACTTTTCTATAAATAAATAGAATAGTTTAAATGATCATAAATAATGTTAGAAAGAGATAATGTATTTTGGAAAAAAAGAAGAGTATTAGCACATATGAGAGAAATAGTCTGAAAATAGTAAATATTATGGTAGTTAGTTCAAATTGAAAAAGATATCAAGACATCGTCATTTAAATAGAAAAGATACATACTTGGCCTAGTTGGGTAGAGACTATGTATAAGTCATTCTTTATGTGATCATACTTTCCTTTGATTGATATGTTGCGCATTGTAAATCTGTTGAATGATGGAAGCTTATAAGAACATACTTTTATCAATACTTAATTTTTAATATGAAGTTCTAAAACTGAAAAATATTTTTTTAAATAGGTTTATTTAAGAGTATTTAGAAAAAAAGAATGTTTTGCAAAAATAACAGACTTATGTGATGCTATAAACCAGGTTGATTGGGTTCCACAAAATATTATATTTTGTTTCTTTCATTATCTTTTTTAGTAGTAAGAAGTATGCGAGAAATAAAGGATCACCACTGGATTTTAACTTGACTTGGCACTGGCAGATTCTTATACCCAAAAACACAACCTAGAGAGCAATCCATCTGTATATAACTCACTCGTTAAGAATGTAAATTTTAAAAAACCTAAGAGATAAATAAGGAAAATATCTTAATTGAAATCTTGTGAGATATTCTTTAACGCTTATCATATATATCATAATTTGTTTGTAATATTTGAACAATGAGGATAATCTTACATCTAACATGCTTATATTAGAAAAAATGAATGTCATTGGTTCAAAGCATCATTTCTACACAGTTTTTAGTGTTATTCGGTTATTGTAAGTTTTTCACCATATATTATAATATTTTAATAGATTTTTTTTCTTTCATAAATTCATGTTAAAATTTGATTTGCACAGATTCTCCTATTTGGGATTATACAAAGTTTCAGATTTAGGACGATGACGTTTTACTCTTCCTCGTTGTTGATCAACCCATGGACACATTCGCTTTGATTGTTTTTGTTCAAAGCTATTACAGAACTCGTTGTCACTGCCTCTTTCACGCTGCAGCGTTTCTACTGGGACGTTTCGTTGCGGCTAGAAAGTGCAAGTAACCGAATTTTTAATCACTGTATATAGTAAACAACAGGCTTTACTTGATGGGCCATTTTCATCAGGCAATGGTAAGCTTGTGGTATAAAGGGGTTGCTCTTGCTGATCACAAGGAATAGTCAGCTGTGTCACTGCAAGAATCGAATATCCAGTCAATGTATAATAAATATAGTCTAAAAGGTTGGTAAAAGCTTTACCTGATGGACCATTTGCGTATGGCATTGGTAAGCTTGAAGCACAAAGGAGTTGTTGAATTAGCTGCTCATTAGGCATCTGCCACTGAACAACTGAAAAAAAAACAGAGACATAGTCTTTGGAGATTAAAAAAGAATGCAAAAAGTCTAATTTTCAATTACTAACAATATCAAAGTTTGTAAGGCTTTACTTGATGGAATATTTGGATTAGGCATTGAAAAGCTTGCAGAGTTAAAGACTTGATCATAAGGGTTTTGCGTCTGTGCAACTGCAGAAAAAGAGAGTGACATAAGGAAGTATTAGGAGGTATAAAAAAAACAAGAAAACTTTAAAACATTTAGTATAGTACCAAAGTTTTGTCAGGCTTTACCTGATATACCACTTGCATATGGCTGGATTAAGGACATGATCTTGGTGATCATAAGGATTCTAAAAGACTGCAACTGCAAGAAAGAGAAAAATAATACTTGGAGGTAAATAATGCAAGAAACCGAACTTTGAAACACTGCGTATAGTACCAAAGCTTGTGAGGCTTTCACCTGCTTGAACATTTTCATAAGGCAATGCTGAGCTTGCAGAACTCAGTTTTCTCTTGTAAGCTACACAATGCAAAAAGATTTCAAAAGACTCATTAGAGAGTTTTTACATGTTGATTTACCTAATGTCTCCAAAAGATGAACTCTTGCAGGATGTTCATGAAGAAGAGTCTTGACCGCAGCTGCACAAAGACAAAAACATAACCAAATCTAAGTAGATGAATCTAAGATGATACAATAAAGATGAGCGTGTGTGTGTGATATACGTACGTGAAGCATCACAAATATCAAGAAGACCATTCTCGAACATCCGAACAGCTTGCTTAGTCAGCATATCATTGAACATCCTCATCTGAAGAGCCATTTGGCATCTCAGGTCAAAGTAACTGAAGAAAACTGGATTATCTTTCCGAAGCTGCTCCCAAACTAAGGAGAGAGAATAAAAATCAAAACTTTATTCAGAACCCATTGATGGAATCAAATAAAGTAGCCAACTTTAAGTTTTTTACCTCTGTGGGTGAGATTTTTACTAATCTGGTGATCTTTTCAAGACATTTAGCGGTTCTTTCTGTATTCATGTAATTTTGAATACAAAGCTCAAACTTGTTCCTCACCTGAAATAGAGCAACAATAACATAGATAAAAACAGAGTATGTAAAAACAGAGTAGGTCACGAGGGTTTGTGATTATTACGTAGTATGAGACGTTTGAAGCGTGACATAGTTTTTCTATAACTGTGGAAGATTCCTGGAAAAAAATAGACTATCTCTTTCTGTTTGACTCAATGAAGATATTTCATGTCGATAAAGATTCACAAACACATAAGGAAACATATCTAATTTAGTTGAAATTTATCTCATGCTCACGAACAGTAAAAAAACAAACAAACTAAAAATCTTCAGTAAATGCTCATAGAAAATATGTCAATAATTTTTGCAGCCTACACGATTCAACCCAATGTTTTTTTATATGCATTAGAAATTTATATCTAATAGTCAAGAAAGATATCTCAAAATGCAAATATGAAACACAATACCTGATTTTTTCGTACGTTTAAAACAAAATCAAAGTAACATATGTGATAAATTACTACATTTGCTTCAAGGGAGATAGGAGAATATCTTTGAAGTTTCTAATTCATACAACACTCTTCACGTCAATACACACAAACAAACAATACATGAGTAGCCATGGGATCAGAATCATCATCTGAATGATCTCCAGACTTCTCAAATCTCTAGACCAAGGCCTTTAAAAATAAAAAGTCATTTTTTACAATTCCCTTCTCAAATCAAAACCAAGAAAAAAGAACAAAGCGGATCTTTTTTTTTACAATTTCCTTGTCAATTCAAAACCAAAAAAATAAGAATAAAGCTTTAACTAATACTAACCTGAAGCTCCCCTATAAGATCTGACATCTTCCCATTCTTCACCAGAATCGTTCATGTATTACCGTCACACCCCAACACACAAATAAGTGAAAAGGGGTTTAAATAAATCTCCACGGCCATGTTTGAGAAACCCTAGAAGTGAACAAGACGGAAGCTCAACTCGGCTTCTTGTGGCCGAGAAAAACATCTCTGAAGAACATTACTTGGTCGCCGTGCACGGAGGAGAGAGCGGTAGAAGCGTTTGGTGTCATCGGAGTAGCATATGAAACATCAGCCTTGCCGTGACGTTTCATCACAATCGCGGAATAAAAAAAGAGATATATAAATAGAGAAATAGAGAGGAAGGTGAAAGGAATCAATTGAATGATTTCTTGAATGAGTTCAACATAAGAGAAGATGTGGAAGTCGAAAGGTAAGAAAAGCACGAAACTAGAGATTGAAGAGGAACACGGGAAAAATGTAGATTCCTCCCCCCTCTGTAATAAAGCAATAATCAGATTAGAAAGTCGAACCGAAAATCAAACCGAGTCCTCAGCTGAGCAAACTAAACCGAAATGACATGTATTATTGTTATAATTTTATTGGCTGATTATTTTAGCTGAGGTGGCATATCTAAGAGGGCTTTATTAGCCCCTTTTAATAGTGTTAAATATATCATGATAAATATATATTAAATAAGATTTAAATATTAATATTAGTTAAATTAATAATTTATACTAAAATTATGGAGAATATGACAAATCACCAAAATTACTGATGTTAAATAATAATATTAGTTAAACTAATAATTTATCCTAAAATTATGGAGTATGACAAATCATCAAAATTACTTCTCAAATAATAGTATAGATTTCTATATTTTTTTTTTAAAAAGTAAAAGCTTTAGACCACCAGTATATTCCTCAGTTAGCAAGCCAGGAAAAAAAAAGAACAAAAAAAACACATTGAAGTGATACATAGCTGAGAGTTCGTATAGTGTTTTGATTTATAGCAAAGAAGAAAATTATATTCTAAATTTTCATTTGGTTGAAAGGAGATTCAGAAAAAAAAACAAATCAAAATCAGTTTATAAATGCAAATTATCATTTAACTCTCACCAAATATCCATCCCACTGTGTTTTATCACCATTCCAGCAACTCGAGAAACAAAATTTTCAAGAAACTCTCGAACAATATCACAAAAGTAAAAAGAAATCACAAAAGATGATTTCAACAAATCAATCATCAATCAATAAGTCAATAACCTAATTATTTCACAAACAAAACTCAAGCACACAAAAGTAAACATATTCCAAAGTAAACTTATCACCCTCCTAGATTGCAAACTAAACCAGCCTAGAATTAAATCTTGAGAGACCATTCACTTTGAAAATACTTGTAACCGTTTTAGACACAGAATATGAACAATTATGCAATTATTGTGAATGACTCATAGTTTGCTCACTGTGGTCTAGACTCGGACCGTGTATTGGATTATGTCCAAAGGAAAAAAATATAATTTCATCTCATACTAAATACACCAAATTTCATGGTCTTGAACTTCACTTTTTGCTTATAAGTTCCTGAACACATGAGACTTCAAAAGTTCATGAACCCTATAAATCTTTATAGTCAAATTCTGTATCATGGAACTATCTCACAGTTATGACAGATTTGATATTCTTTTTGATCACCCACCCTTGTGGATTAGGGACATATAGGACATCCAAGTGAACATGCTAGTTCAGTATCCTCGAGCAAGCTGGTGGAACACCTTTCATATCGCTTTCATCTGCTACCACATACTCTATAAATGTTGTCTCCTGCTTGGAAACACACCATGTCATATTCAAGTAAGATTACAAAGACAGTTCACTGAGCACAAGAGATATAAGAAAAAAGCCATACTTGGAAACCTTCCTTCACTGTGTCTAGATATGGTAATTGAAAGGCACACGTGCGTAGTGGAGAGAGTCAACATGCCATTTCATTGCAGTGTAGTTTTCAACGGAATTAACCCTAGAGTTTCAAGTAACCTTAGAGTTCCCTAGTCCGTCCAACTTTTCCCATCCATTGATCCCTTCATACCCATCAAGACACACATAATCTACCTAAGGTGCTTGTCTTAATAAGACATACTGTAACATCCCGGTTTAATGGTATATGGAAAGGCTTAAGAGAATTGATTTGACTATCTATCTCAGCAAAGTGCACTTACCTTTTCGGGAGCACATCCAAAGAGAACTTCAGAGTTAAAGCGTGGTTGAGCTGGAGTAGTCAAAGGATGGGTGACCTATCGGGAAGTGATTCGCGATACCGTGTAAGTGAGGCCAAAGCACGGGGAAAGGTCGGGTGGTGATTGCAGGGTCAGTAAACATGACTCTAGAGCCTTGGAAAATTAACGAACCGGCCGTTGGAATGGAATGGGGCCCACAGGCCAAGAGAGCGGGCGTGGGTGGCCCATTAGCTGTGGGCGGTCGGGGCGTTACAAGTGGTATCAGAGCCGAACCCCGACGAGTGTGGAGTCAGTGAGGGCTCACACTAACAGGGGTAACGATCTTGGGGCGCAACGAAGACATTGCGTTCTTTGAGAGGGGGGTGAATTGTAACCTCCCGGTTTAATGGTATATGGAAAGGCTTAAGAGAATTGATTTGATTACCTATCTCAGCAAAGTGCACTTACCTTTTCGGGAGCACATCCAGAGAGAACTTCAGAGTTAAAGCGTGTTTGCGCTGGAGTAGTTAAAGGATGGATGACCTATCGGGAAGTGATTCGCGATACCGTGTAAGTGATATTCACCTAAGTCTACCATCCACCAGGAAGATATACGTGTGTACCTTTACGAAAAAAAATTGATGTGATAAAAAGAGAAGTAATGGAGGAGCAAAGGGGAAGTGACAAAGAAAGGTAGGTTTAACCTGGACCTGTTATTAAAGAATTAGAAGCCCATTCATAATCTTTAGCTATAAAGTAACGAAGCCCAATCGTAATCAAATAAACTTAAACGCTGCGTTTTAATAAGATGACACGTGGCAGATATTACCCCCCCATAAAGATAAAAAAGCCTTATTTATTTATAAGGACTAGCAGATCTGTAAACTTGTAATCAAGAACTCATGAAGAGATGATCAGGATCCCGAGGGAGCATATACACAGCTTGCTTGTCTACAAGAATGATCAAAGAAAGGGGATGTATTTTTTTTTTTTAACGCTGGGTTTGCATATCAAAATAAAAGAGTTACAGAATTATAAGGATGTTCTCCACATAAGGAAAAATCCAAAAAAAACAACTCTGTAAAAGTGAACGTTAGAAACTAACATCAATAGATGCCATACGTATGATAGAGTGAAGCCTAGAAACTAGCATCAGTAGATGCCATATGATAGCTTCAAAGTAAGGAACAAGAATACAAAGACTGCTTCCAACCAAGAGCCAGCAAAGCGTAAAAACGCAGCACTGCCAAGCCATAGTTTGAGGATACTTTCCAGCCAGGGCCAGTATATGTCGTCAGTGCTTTAGTAGCAACACGAGATGGTCGTTAGGCAGGAGCTGCCGGGACATAGTGAAGGCCGCAAGGTCTTCATTCCGCATGGCCGATGGTCCCTATACCAGGATGATGACTCCGGTTATTAGGTGTGTTATCTAGACTGTCGAGACATGGGACCATGGAAGGTGTTTGGATCTATAGCTGCATCCTACATTGGGGATTGCCCACGTACCCCTCGGAAGGGGATCAATCCATTCGTAATTCATATTGGTAGAGGCGCGTAACCTGATGGAGGCGCATAGCCTAGGAGAGGCATAGAGCCCCAGAGAGGCGCATGACCTTGGAGAGGCCCAGGGCCTTAAGGAGGCACAAAGCCATGGAGAGGCGCAGGGCCTTAAGGAGGCACGGAGCCTTGGAGAGGCGCATTCCCTTAAGGAGGCACGGAGCCTTGGAGAGGTGCATGGCCTTAAGGAGGCATGGAGCCTTGGAGAGGCGCATGGCCTTAAGGAGGAACGGAGCCTTGAAGAGGCGCAGGGCCTTAAGAAGGCACGGATCCTTGGAGAGGCGCAGGGCCTTAAGGAGGCACGGAGCCTTGAAGAGGCGCATGGCCTTAAGGAGGCACGGAGCCTTGGAGAGGCGCAGGGCCTTAAGGAGGCACAGAGCCTTGGAGAGCACATGGTTCTGTAGATGATGAGAATCATCTGTTCTAAAGGGCGCATGGCCAGAACAGAGGGTAGATTAGTCGATATGCTTCAGTAAGCATGGAGTCTCCGTATGCTTCAGTAAGCATGATGTGTCTTTTCCGATGAGCTGGAGATCTTAGCCTGAGCTTGATAGGTGGAACTGCAGACGTGTTGTAGTGAGCATATATCTTCATCCAGGTGGTAGGAATCGCAGGAATTCGCCTGTTGTTGAGTATGACGATGAAGATGGCTTCTAGGTACGAAACCTTGTTTTGACAGCTATGGAGATGATGAGCTCGTGTCTCTCTCTCTTATGGACGTCCTGACCTCTTGTGGATGTGCAGACATGAGTATAGAGCTTTCGTCTAGCTGATAGTAGTCATGGGGATCATCCTTCATAAGCGTATCGAAGAAGAGGTCTTCTCGGTATGAGATTTTGCCTTGGCGGCTGTAGAAGGGTTTTGCTATGTGGATGAACGTGTTGGCCTCCTCTTTTTAGGTTAAATTCACCTTATACTTATAATAGAATTCGTGCTCTCTTCTAGGGTTTGGAAATATTCATTATATCCTTAGATATTAGAATATTTCCAATTTTCTTTAAAGGCAGCTATATGTATTGAAATAATTCCTCTTTCTTCTCTTGGATTTAAGGAGATTCGACCATATTATGATAAATGTGAATGTCCACATTTATCATGAAGTTTTCCTTTTTACTTGGACGCAGGGGGAATTATCTGATCTGGCCCAGAAGCAGGGCCCGATACCTAAAGCAGGGTTCGGTACCTGAAACATGGACAAGGACCTGGGGCAGGGCCCATAACCTGGAAGCCGGAAGCTGGGGAAATCTTCTCATGGATTATTTTTCCCCAACAGTTTGCCCCTTATTTTCTGGCTTCATGTTTGA